TAAAAGTTTTGATCATTGCTTACAAAAAACTGATTCATGTGATTTTTGACATTGTCATCTCAAGTAAATGTCTTACAGTTAAAAAATTTTGTATAGACCGGAACAAGTAATAATCTGAGTGTGCTTGATCTGGCGAATATGGTTGGTGTGATAGTATGTCCCATCTAAGTTATAACAGTTTCTGATCAATTACCAAACTTGTGTGAAATTTGACATTATTCTGGTAAAACACTACACTTGTTTTGTTGATCAATTCTTGCCGCCTTTTCTGTTTGATGATATTACTCAATTTGTTTACTTGATGGCAGTACATTTTTGAATCAATTTTTAAATTGTCTGGTAAAAGCTCCAAAAAAAATTTCCTTAAAATCCCACCAAAGAGAGCATCTCTCTTTAAGAACATGTGGAACCCATATATCGAGCTTTGAAACGAAACCAATTTGTTTCAAGTAATCATAAACAGTTCAATTTGACAAATTTAATCTCTTAGTGATTTTACGTGTTGTTATTTGGCAGTTTGCTTCAATCAGTACCTTTATTTTGTTTTCATTGGCTTCAATTGGCCATCCAGAATAGTGCATCTTCAATATTGAACTTCCCAGAACAAAATTTTGTAAATCAGTTATGGCACTGTCATTCTGTCAGTACATCTTCTCTATACATGTCACACGATTTTTTTCTCGTTTGAACAGCATTCTTATCATTTCGGTAATAAAAGAGCAAAATATGCTGAAAATGCTGCTTTCGATCGTCCATATTTGATGGGATACAAAAAATAAACAATTGCACGAAATCAAACAAAATTTTTTACAAATAAGCCTTAAAATGCTAGCTGTCAAAATATATAATGATAATACGGTTTAGAATGAAAATGGCAATTGCAGGAAAAATATGACTAATCTGTCTAGTGGTAAAAAAACCAAACTTACTTCCCAATCTAATAATATATTACTTAGGGGCTCTGACTGACCTGACTAACAGAAAAGACAGAACTATATTCAACAATATTTATAATTTTACTACATAGTTCCCCATCATGCCTGACAGAGAGCTATGTAGTAAAATTATAAATATTGTTGAATATAGAACATGGAAAAGTTGTAATCAAATTCATGAGTCAAAAGCTTATTAGCCAAAGAATAATTAGAAGAATTTAAATTGGAAAGAGCTGATGAGTTTGAACCAGAAGATGATAGATTTTGATTCTTACAAAGACATTGAAGCAGATACAAATGACAATGTAATAATGAAACTAAAAGATGCTGAACTGGATTAACTATGAAAATGGTAATTATTTCAAATGTAACTGTAACCCATAAATACAGTCAATAAATGGTTTTGATAGTTTGGAAAACATGCGCGTTTTAAGGTATTTCTTTCAGTTTTTACCCACTTGTCTCCTGTTGCAAGGTAATAAATTCTGAAAAAAAAAACTCTGGGTCTTCAAGGGATATGTGTTTCAGAAACAAATCCCTAGGATTTAATTGAGAAAATACAGTATATGTATTTGCCTGTAGTCCTTTTTGATTTCTTCTTTACATATAACCCTCCTAATCTTCACTTTCTACTAAACCAAACATTTCTGCACAATAAGTAGTTTTGATTAGCATAAGTGTACTTATTTAGATAACTTAAAAATAAATTTAAATGTAAAAAATAAGCACACATTAATTTGCTATTATGTTTTTTATGATAATTTTCTTCTCAATTTTCAACTTGTAATAAAAATAATTATTTCAATAATTTAAACAGGGAATTATTTTCAGTACAAAAGATTAAAATTTTTTAAAATATAGAAATATGTTAAAAAATTTTTTTTTTGTAAATCTAAATATAAAATTTTATACCCATTCGTCTTGAAGAGCTTTAAGAATAGCAGGAATACTGGTGGCTGAAGGAGGACGAGGTTTCACAACTGAAGGAGCTGAAAGGTATTCATATAATAAAACATTTAAATATTCATTAATAATCTTCAAGAATCATCAAGAAAATAAAACTTTCATTTTAATATTCATAAAGTTTGTGAATAGCATTTAGTTAAAAGCAATAAAAATTATACAACAAATATGTGTAGTCTTCAACCTATATCCAGCGTGAAAATTCCAAACTAATATCGGCAAACGCTTTCGATGCCCCTCCTGGACTCTTCTTCAGGCCAAATTTAATGCACTGGATTCTTAAATCGAATATTTTTAAATAAGAACGTGCTCTGTTACCAGAAGCTCAAATAAGGAAGATAATCACGTGCCTTTCCGAATTATAATTTCTTTATCATTTATATTCGTGGAGATATGTTGTGTGCATCTTATAATAATCTCGCGTATTTTATAATCACATGCCGTTTCTAAAAATAATTTTAACTAGTGGAGATACGATCCCATAATATTCTGGTGTATCGTATAATAAATTACGATTCATCCTCCAATAAATACTGCCACGCTGTTGAGAGATTCATTTCTTCTTTAAGATTGATGCAGGTTAGTTTGCAATCTGCTTTGTAAATTTCCATCGCTTCCAAAGTTCTTAGATGTTCATGATTACGAGTGGTGTGGATGACCCGTGCCTTATTAAAAATCGGGGTTATGTCTGGGTTTGTTGCATATGTCGACAATGCTGTCGTATATTTGTTGTGGGTGATGTCTGCTTTATGTTCCTTTATTCTGGTGGCTAACGGACGCTTAGTGGACCCTATGTAAATTAGTTGCCTTTGCCATCTATCGTCCATTAAGGGAATGGTGTATATTCCCGGTAGCCTGTTCGGGTTATGGGCGTCTTTTCCGTTTCTTAATAAATTATATATGGAAGGGTTTCTTCTGTATGTAATTTTAATTCCTTTTTTCTTTGCAATTGAATTATATATCGTTTTCATTTGTGGGTTGTACGTTACTGGGACCCTTTCCATACGTTCTTTATCAACTGCTCCTGATGTCTTTTCTTCATCTGTTTTACTGTTTATGTGAAGGCACTGATTATATAATTTGTTTATTAAGTTGCCATAACCGTGGTCTTTAGCGACATCTCTAATATACGCTAATTCTTGTTGTAGAGCGTAGGTCGTGGAAGAGTGGGAATAGGCTCTTTCTACCAAAGTCCTGAATGCCGCTATTTTGTAAGAGTACGGGTCACAGGAATTGATGGGTATGTACGATGGTATAGTTGTGGGTTTTCTATAAACTTTTGTTTGTATTGTTCTTTCTTTAATTTTAATTTCTATATTCAAGAAGATATAGAAATTTTTTCTTCACTATGCTGCTCTAATTCCAAATAAAGGCCATAAGGGTTGTTGTTCATGGCTGTCTTAAATTGTCTTAGGTCTGGCGGTGTTTTCCAGAGAATTATAATGTCATCTATATACCTACCATACATGATTATATTTGAAAGAAAGAGTGGTAGGGTTTTGGTTTCTAATGCCCTAATTACCATTTCGCACAAGTCCCCAGATAATGGACTTCCCGTGGGTACTCCTCTCTCTTGTGCATATATGTTTCCTTTGAACTGGAATACCGAACTATAACAGGCTAGATGGACCAATTCCAGTATATCTTGGTGCAGATTAGTATCATTTACTTTTTCTATGAGGAAATCTCTTAGTGCACAAAAACAAGGTTGTATTTTTATCGAGGGGTATAATGATCTAAAATCCCATACTGTGGCGTATTCTGGCTTGTTTATGGTTTTGAGTTTTAATATCAATTCTTTTGGATTCAAGATATTGAATCGGTAGTTTACTAGGTGTGCAGACAGCATATTATGAAGAAATTTTTTAAGTTTGATGGTAGGAGCTCTTCCTTTGTCTACTATAGGTCTTAGCTTTTGTCCTATTTTATGTTTTGGCAAAGGCGAAAAGTTTAGGTACGTCTGGAGCGTCCATAATGATGTTTTTCATATTTAGGTTCTTGGTTAGTTTGGTGTTGGCAACTCATTTAACCCTCGCTTGCATTTTATCCACCCAGTTCGTTTCAACTTGTGTGCATTGTGTTTCTGATAAGTATTTTTCTAATTCTTTCTCGTAAGTTTCTTTCTTCATTAACACCATAACTCTGGCTTTATCCACTCTGGTTACCACAATATCATTAGCTTTTATCCATTTGGAAGCTTGGCTTAATTTATGTTTGAGCTGTGAAATGTCTTTTGTTTCTTTAGCTCTACTTATTCTTAAAGAAGATAGCCATCTATAGTACTCTTTTTGATTTGGAGAAAGGCCTCTTATAAGGTTTTCAAGGTCCAGGATACTAGAGTTAATAGTTTCTTTTTGTGATGGAGGTGGTACATAAGCCGGACCAAATTTTAGTATCTGGCTAACAAAGTCTGAAATTTGTATATTATCCCACACTACAAATGGAGTCTCCATCCTATTGGATCTTTTAGGTACTTGAAATTTCAATATCCATTTCATTTTTAGATTGAAACGAACCTTTAGGTTGTATCTCAGTCTGTTATGGATGTTAACTTGCTTCGTATTTTCAATACGTAAAATATTCGGATCTTGTTGAAATAAGTTGTTCTCCACTGCAATAATTCTGGTTATCATCGAATATACCTTCTTTCTAGTATCTCTGATAGCTTTTGTTAGGCACATCCTTCTTACCTTATTAATTAAAGGTTCATTACCTGAGGGTAGGTGCACCCGGTAAATCGTCATGGGGAATACTCCAATATTTCTACAATTAATCAAAAAATCCAGTCTCGCTCTTGCTTTTGTAAGAGTGATAATTGCTTTGCGATATTCGTTAGCTGGCATAGCTATAATTAATCAAGGATTTCTCCCACACCGGGTCATAACTCCGATTTTTAATGAGGCACAGGTCATCCGCACCACTCGTCATCATGAACATCTAAGAACTTTGGAAGCTCCACCATACCTTTAAAATGCAGTCTATTTTAAACAGTTATCGAACCTTTTCGGTCAGATTAACAGACCTTCTTCAGGATCGACGTAAAGAATTTAGACTTGCCAAACGGTAATTCTAAAAACGCATGCTCTACAATCTTCCGAGATTCGATTGCGCATGTCCATTTGTTCTTTATAATGCCGCCGCTATTCTATTTGACTCTCGAAAATTTATATTTTGCCCCTTTTCCCTGTATTTATAAATGTGCCAGGCCTCTGCATACTTTAGATGTAGTTTATTATCAATCTTTTGTATAATATCCACCTTGCTCCATTCGATTGCAATCTCTGTAGGATCCGCGATCGCATAATTAGCCAAAGCCGTGATTGGTTGTTTAAATCTTATATAATAGAAAATAGCATATAAGAGAAACACGACAATATTCCAAATGCTAAGAAATGACAAAACACTCGTAGACAGGAGGCTAGTTCCAGATGTGTACAGAATACCATTGCATGATAAAAGGCTAAAGAAGGAGCTATATTATATAGGAGCCACAAAGAGATCATTAAGAGAAAGATTGAAGGAGCATGAAAAGAATATAAGATTTAAACAACCAATCACGGCTTTGGCTAATTATGCAATCACGGATCCTACAGAGATTGCAATCGAATGGAGCAAGGCGGATATTATACAAAAGATTGATAATAAACGACATCTAAACTATGCAGAGGCCTGGCACATTTATAAATACAGGGAAAAGGGGCAAAATATAAATTTTCGAGAGTCAAATAGAATAGCATCAGCATGGAAAGCGGCGGCATTATAAAGAACAAATGGACAATGCGCAATCGAATCTCGGAAGATTGTAGAGCGTGCGTTTTTAGAATTACCGTTTGGCAAGTTTAAATTCTTTACGTCGATCCTGAAGAAGGTCTGTTAATCTGACCGAAAACGTTCGATAACTGTTTAAAATAGACTGCATTTTAAAGGTATGGTAGAGTTTATTAATTAATAATGCAGTTAGAGATATAATGAACTTTGGAAGCGATGGAAATTTACAAAGCAGATCGCAAACTAACCTGCATCAATCTTAAAGAAGAAATGAATCTCTCAACAGCGTGGCGGTATTTATTGGAGGATGAATCGTAATTTATTATACGATACACCAGAATATTATGGGATGTGCACATCGTATATCCACTAGTTAAAATTATTTTTAGAAACGGCACGTGATTATAAAATACGCGAGATTATTATAAGATGCGCACAACATATCTCCACAAATATAAATGATAAAGAAATTATAATTCGGAAAGACACGTGATTACCTTCCTTATTTGAGCTTCTGGTAACAGAGCACGTTCTTATTTAAAAATATTCGATTTAAGAATCCAGTGCATTAAATTTGGCCTGAAGAAGAGCCCAGGAGGGGCATCAAAAGCGTTTGCCAATATTAGTTTGGAATTTTTATGCCGGATATAGGTTGAAGACTAAACATATTTGTTGTATATGACCCGGTGTGAGAGAAATCCTTGAGCAATAAAAATTAAATGATTCAATTAAATAATACTAATAATAAAAATAATAATGGTCCAGAAGTACTCAGCAGAGATAAATTACAAACTTACTATCAGACCTGTGCATTTGCTGAGAAAAATTTTTATTAACAAATGTTTTCAGTTTACTCCCATAGGCCATCATCAGGTTTTTAAATCCATTTTTTTAGAAAGTGTTCCACAAATAGAACATCCATTTTAATTTTAAATTTTGAAGTATTCTAAATACAAATTTAAAGTTAATGAATTAAATAAATAAATAAATTATGAAAAATAAAAGGGTAACGAAATAAAAATGAAATTAAGAAAAATATGAAATAAAAACTATGAAAGTATAACACAAAAGCTAAATATGATTATAGGGACAAAATTCAGGGGATTTTATGTCCTACACCTTTTTCAATGATGTATTTCCAAGCTGAAGGTAATGAATGCATTTGCATCCCTTGCATTTCAGCACTGCTCTTTGATCTTGCTCTTGTATGTACATTTCAATTTTTTTCATATCCATAGCAGTGGTTGGAGAATTTATCTTTATAGCAATGTTTGCTTCACCTCATTTTATAACAGAGCCTTCCACCTGTGACATTGCCACTAAAATTGTATTACTATGGACTTTTACTACATTGTACTTGTGTTCCTTGAGTTAACACATGAAGTTTCTTTTTGTGACTCCAACATAATTTTTTTTGGACCCCTAACCATTGACTTTCATAGGGAATTTTGTATACTCATTGTTTGTAAGTTGCCAGCTCATCTATTATATATTGAGACAAATTGATAATAATAATAAGCGCAGAGCCCAAACAGTTGGGAGGTGAAAGTTTAAATTTGGTACACAGTTAGGGTATGACACGAGAACGCACACTAAGAAGGGATTTTTTGAAATTTCCCCGGGGGAGAGGGACAGGATTAAGGCTTCAACAATGGAAGTGTTAAGAGATAGCAACGTGCAAGATTTATAGGCACAGATGCGGTTTTTTTGTGTTTTTGTGGGAAATCGAACATATTTTTAGACCCATCTAAAAATTCTCTAATTAGTCTGGAAACAGGGAGACATAATTCTTGCATTCTGTGAAAATGGGTAAGATTGGCTGTAATGTAATAATCTTAATCTTTGCTATTGTTACTTTTTGCATGAGCAATGCCGGGCTTATCTGTTAGTTTTACTATAAATGAGCTAACAACTTACAAAAAGTCAGAATAGTTTTCAAAAGATTCCCTAATATTTACAACTTACTGAGGAATGGTAAAGAAAACTAAAGAAAGAAGAAAAGGCTGGATATACAAAATACCCTATGAAAATCAATAGTTAGGGGTCCAAAAAGATTATGTTGGAGTCACAAAAAAGTAACCTCATGGTGTCAACTCAGGGAACACAAGTACAATGTAGTAAAAGTCCATAGTAATACAATTTTAGTGGCAATGTCACAGGTGGAAGGCTCTGTTATAAAATGGGGTAAAGCAAACATTGCTATAAAGATAAATTCTCCAACCATTGCTATGGATATGAAAAAAATTGAAATGTACAAGAGCAAGATCAAAGAGCAGTGCTGAAACACAAGGGATGCAAATGCATTCATTACCTTCAGCTTGGAAATACATCATTGAAAAAGGTGTAGGACATAAAATCCCCTGAATTTTGTCCCTATAATCATATTTAGCTTTTGTGTTATACTTTCATAGTTTTTATTTCATATTTTTCTTAATTTCATTTTTATTTCGTTACCCTTTTATTTTTCATAATTTATTTATTTATTTAATTCATTAACTTTAAATTTGTATTTAGAATACTTCAAAATTTAAAATTAAAATGGATGTTCTATTTGTGGAACACTTTCTAAAAAAATGGATTTAAAAACCTGATGATGGACTATGGGAGTAAACTGAAAACATTTGTTAATAAAAATTTTTCTCAGCAAATGCACAGGTCTGATAGTAAGTTTGTAATTTATCTCTGCTGAGTACTTCTGGACCATTATTATTTTTATTATTAGTATTATTTAATTGAATCATTTAATTTTTATTGCTCAAGGATTTCTCTCACACCGGGTCATATACAACAAATATGTTNATTTTTCAAAAATCAGAATTTGATTCATTATATCTAAGAAAATAAGTATATTCATAAAATAATTATCAGATATGGAGTTGATCACTGATGATCACTGTTTTATAATTTCATTAATTCAACAGCTTGATAATATCTAACATTAAAACTTGTAGTAGTAACTTTAAACATATTAGAATGGAGAAGAGGTCTTGGGTTCTAATTTGTTTAAAGTATATGGGACAGTTTAGAAGAAACAATGCTGAGAATGAATGGAAGATGTCTAAAAGTGCTTGGATGTTTTTGTTAAATATTGTACTCCAATGAAACAGTTGTTTTTGATCAGAAATTTATTTCAAATATTGTATTCCCTGTAATAATCACCCATTTAAAAACTGTTATAATAATTGTTCATCTAACTGATATTGTGAAGTAAACTGCACTGATTGACCTAAATAGCAGTACATTAGTGAGGTTCATTATTATCAATTAATCAACTATGAATAAGATAATTTCCAATATCAGAGTCAGAAAAATGAATACTGACTAATATCATTATTAATATTTATTATTACTGTTATTGGGAAGTATCAGTATTTAAAAGTTAATGAAAGTAATTCATCCAAATAATTCTTTTATATATTTGCATGATATTCCAATTTAACTAATTTAATTAGTTTTTATATTAGTCTCTTTTGAAATCACACCTTTTCTTCTGGTTACAANAAAAAAAAAAAAATGAAAATAAATTGTTTAGTGAACAATTACAGAAAACATGATAATTGAATTTAATGTACTGTATCAATATATATATATTTTATAATAAAAAAATTTCATATTTACTTTTAATTTCTATCAACATATCTTCTGTTAATTCTTTTCCATTAATAGGGTCAGTTCCATTTTCTTGTATATATTTCACAATGAGCCTCTTGTCAAAGATACTTCCAGATATTGGAGACAAAACTGGTTGTTCGGGTACCTCATTACTAACTGAAAATAAAGTTTTACAGTACCAAATTAAAATCTTAAATATTCATTAAAAAAATTGAAAACAAAATTTCCTGAAGTGTGAAAAAGATAAGATAACACTTATGTATTATCTTGTTTGGATGTGTTTTTAATAAATTTTTTAAGTTTGTAAAAAAGTCAAACTTACTGTAATAATAAAAATTTTTTAAGTAATTGAACAAAATAACTTCTTTATATAGTTTAAGTTTTAGATTGATTTATTATCATGCAATTAAGGGGTGGAGAATAATTGAAGAGGTCAGAAATATTTTTAGAAACAACATGAATTCAAACTTTTCAGTTCACAGATCATAACATTGTAATTTAATAAATAATTATTCTCTTTTGAATGTATATTAATTTGACTAAATTTTGAAAATAATGTTTGAATAGGCAAAAGTTTAATTATTATTTGATGTTATTGAGGGGGTGCAGTCACGTGATATAACATCATCGCTCCGCCCAACAAAACAATTGTCCACCATATTGGTTGCTGATTTCACATAACCTTGCTTGATCACTATTATGTCAACATGAAAGAAAGGAATTTTACCTGGCTTTGCAGCCAATTTGACAGGTAATGATTTGATAAAATATAAAGAGAAAACTTATTTTATTGGATGGGATCCATACGAAATGAAACAAATAGATTTTTCATCCAACAATTTAACCAAATGTACCATTCTACAAGCAAAAGTAAATCATAATGAATGACTCTTGATAAAATATCACAATGTTATTAATAAATCCGCTTGTCAAATAGCATCATTATGAGCATCAAATGATTTGTATGCCTTCATCTGAACAAGTGTGACAGCGTTAGTTGTTAAAATAATTTACCATGTCTCTTTGTTCTATAGTTGGCCACGTGGTTAAATCGTTGGATGAAAAATCCGTTTGCTTCATTTCGTATGGATCCCATCCAATAAAATACGTTTTCTTTTTATATTTTATCAAATCACTAGCAGACCCCGCTACACATTGTTGTGGCTCAAAATGTATCTATTATAAATGTATAACACTTCCCCCGTAGGGGGAAATTTTTTGAAAAATCGCTTCTTAGTGTACATTCTTTTGACATACCCTATTAAAACGCAATCAAAAACGCAAAAAACCACATCTAAAATAGTATAAATAGCAGCAGAGTTCTTTACGGTAAGCATTAATCCTGTCCATCTCCTCCCAGGGGGGAATTTCGACATGTATATTATATAAAAACATGTGCGTATTCGAATGCAGCGTTGTGTCAGAATTTCAAAGGAATCAGTAGAAACAAACGAACATTACATTTTTATTTATAGATAGATAGATGATGATATGCTTTAGTTCATTTTCACAGAAAAGCAAACTTAGGGCGTCGTACTTGTAGCGCCATCTGTTGGACATAAAAGCCTTAACATAGATTATATCTTTTAATTTATATGAACGCTTAATGGAATAATATACAGCCTATGTCCACCATGAAGTTCCATTCTAAATACTGGTGAAGAATTTTTGAAATCGGATGAGTAGTTTCGGAGATTACTTGCTACATAAAAACTTACTTACAAACATTACCTCTTTATAATTTAGTATAGATATAGATTACCCGTCAAATCAGCTGCAAAGCCAGGTAAAATTCCTTTCTTTCATGTTGACATAATAGTGATCAAGCAAGGTTATGTGAAATCAGCAACCAATATGGCATGCGCTTCTTTGCGCAGTCTCTGTATATGTAAGCAGAGTCATGTGACATCATGTGCACCCCCTCTATAATTATATGGAAAATCTTTTGAACTTTTACTGAAGTAGAAAATGTTACAATCAGAAATTTTCTGTCCTACACTCTTTAACTGCAATTTAATTAAAAATACAGTAGATCCCCCTATAAAACCGTTTCCTATAGTTATGATTCCTATAAAAATTGTGGCAGTACAGTAGATCCCCCTATAAAACCGTTTCCTATAGTTATGATTCCTATAAAAATTGTGGCAGTATCCGTAAACAACGGTAAAAATAACTCCTATAATATATAAAACGTCATCGGGCAGCCGAACTACTTTCCCGCCGTCCGTAGCGCCACGCTACGGACGTTTAGGCGGATAAATTGAGTTTAGTATCGTCTGTTCATATAATTATATATAAATTAGGTACTGTACATATAATTATATATTAATTATATATAAATTAGGTACTGTATATATAATTATATATTAACTTAATTTATTGTAACTTTATTATAATTAAATATATATTTTTCGCCGTCTAGCGTCACGCTACGGCGAGTTAGGCGACCTATCGTCTGTCCAGT